CATCAGCATCATCATCATCATCAGCATCATCATCAGCATCATCATCAGCATCATCAGCATCATCATCATCAGCATCATCATCAGCATCATCAGCATCATCAGCATCATGAGCATAATCATCATCAGCATCATCAGGATCATCATCATCATCATCATCATCAGCATCATCATAATCATCAGCATCATCAGCATCATCAGCATCATCATCATCAGCATCATCAGCATCATCATCATCAGCATCATCATCAGCATCATCAGCATCATCAGCATCATGAGCATAATCAGCATCATCATCAGCATCATCAGCATCATCAGCATCAGCATCATCAGCATCATCATCAGCATCATCAGCATCATCATCAGCATCATCAGCATCATCATCATCAGCATCATCATCATCATGATCATCATCATCAGCTTCATCAGCATCATCAGCATCATCATCAGCATCATCAGCATCATCATCATCAGCATCATCAGCATCATCATCATCAGCATCATCATCAGCATCATCAGCATCATCAGCAGCATCATCATCAGCATCATCATCAGCATCATTAGCATCATCAGCATCATGAGCATAATCATCATCAGCATCATCAGGCTTATCATCATCATCAGCATCATCATAATCATCAGCATCATCAGCATCATGAGCATCATCAGCATCAGCATCATCAGCATCATCATCATCAGCATCATCATCAGCATCATCAGCATCATGAGCATCATCAGCATCATCAGCATCATCATCAGCATCATCAGCATCATCAGCATCAGCATCATCAGCATCATCATCATCAGCATCATCAGCATCATCATCAGCATCATCAGCATCATCATCATCAGCATCATCATCATCATGATCATCATCATCAGCATCATCAGCATCATCAGCATCATCATCAGCATCATCAGCATCATCAGCATCATCAGCATCATCAGCATCATCAGCACCATCAGCATCATCATCATCATCAGCATCATCATCAGCATCATCAGCATCATCAGCATCATCATCATCAGCATCATCATCAGCATCATTAGCATCATCAGCATCATGAGCATAATCATCATCAGCATCATCAGGATTATCATCATCATCAGCATCATCATAATCATCAGCATCATCAGCATCATCAGCATCAGCATCATCAGCATCATCATCATCAGCATCATCATCAGCATCATGAGCATCATGAGCATCATGAGCATCATGAGCATCATCATCAGGCAGCATCATCATTATCAGCATCAGCATCATCGGCATCATCGTCTCGCCTCGTCGCTGCACAGAGCCTCTTGGCCTGCCTGCAGGGACGGCTGCGGGGTGTGTGCCGCCCCGCCCGGGCGCGGCCCTGCCCGCCGGGGGCGGCGCCTCGGGCGACGGGGAGGCGCGTGCCAGGGCCGCGCGCAGATGGAGTCGATGGCACCTGGCGGCCAGCAGGAGGAGGAGGAGGAGGAGGAGGAGAAGGAGGAGGGGAAGGAGGAGGAGGAAAAGGACGAGGAGGGGAAGGAGGAGGAGAAGGAGGAGGAGGAGGAAGGCCAGTGCAAGCCGAAGACTCATCAACGATGCTGGAATGCACCGTCCCTCCAAGCTCCCTCTTCACGAGCCACTACAAGGCTTCAGTTCCACTCAAAGAACTGCCTCGCTGGGAGACAACCAACCGTTTGAAGACCCTGAAACGTGCCAAAAAACCATTCTCGGGACTCCATCGCCACGAATCACCATGACCGTTGCGTCTTGACGGTCCGGAACCGTGCCAGAACTCAAATTCCTGGGACTACAACACCGCGAATCAACGTAATTGTTGCGCCATCACAAACCTGATTCCTTCCAAAACATCATTTCCGGCCGTTGCCCATGAGAGTCCGTGAAAGTCTTGCACATATTCAAAACGAGAAAACGCGGCGCTGAAGCAAGAGCCATAGGTTCAAAAAGAACCGCCCTCAATCCGTGAAACTCTAAAAAGTTTTCACACTAGTTGAAGGTGCGCGGCGCTGAGGCGAGAGCCACAGTTTGAAAACCACCCACCCTCAACCCGTGAAACTCTTGCAAATTTAAACAACGAAGACACGCGGCACTTAAGCGAAAACCGCATTATGAAAACCACCCATCATCAACCCGTGACACTCTTACAATGTTCTGATACGAATGTGCGCGGCGCTAAGGCGAGAGCCACATGTTGAAAACCACCCACCCTCAATCCGTGACACTCTTGCAATGGTTTAATCGAATGTGCGCGGCGCTGAGGCGAGAACCACATGTTGAAAACCACCTGCCCTCAATCCATGAAGTTCTTGCATGTTTTCAAAAACGAATGTGCGCGGAGCTGGGGCGAGAGTCGCATTTTGAAAACCACCCGCCCTTCATCTGTGAAGCTGTTGGCAATGTTAAGCTCTAGGGTCGTCAATGGTGAACAAGTCTCACACGAAGCGCCCAGCCCGCCCTTTCGACTGGCCTTGGGGTGCGACAGGGTTACTGACAAGGAGAAGGAATGGAGGAGGGTGAGGATGAGAAGGAGGAGAAGCAGGAGGAGGACGGAGGAGGAGGACGGAGGAGGAGGAGGAGGACGGATGAGGAGGGGGAAGAGGATGAGGGGGAAGAGGAGGGGGAGGAGGGCGAGGACGGGGGAGGATGGGGAGGAGAAGGAGGAGGAGGCGGAGCTGCGGGGGAGAGGGGTGGGGGAGAGCGCCTAGTCTGGATGGCCTCCAAACAGCGGCGCCGTCGCCTTGATTTCCCTGCCGAGAAGGAAGAAAGACATCAATACTAATAAACACAATGACGCCAACAATGCGAATAATCCGAAGAATAGACATAATACCCAAGAGCACCAATAATAACAATAATCGGTGTAATATGAAGAGGAATTGCAGGAGGGGGAGCGCAAAAGAAGGACGAGGATGCGAACAGCAAGAGCAGGAAGGAGGAAGGAATAATGAAGCAGAAAGGAAGAGGGGGGGACCGCGAATGAGGGGGCAGCAGGTAGAAGGCAAGTCATTCAGAGGAGTGCTGCCCCACCGAGGATGAAGAAAAACAGCAATGAGAAATACAATGACGCCAATCATACGAAGAATCCAGAGAACATGCATAATACCTAGGAAAACCATGGGTAACAGTCATCGGTGTAGGCTGGGAAGGAAGAGTAGAAGGGGAAGATAGGGGGAGTGCAGAAGAAGGACGAGGATGCGCAGCAGCAGCAAGAGAAAGGAGTAATGAAAGAGGAGAAGCAGGAGGATGGGAAGGAGGAGGTAGTACGGTGTTGGCATTGGATAAGGAACCCTTAGATAAGGAATCCAGGGTCTGGAAGCCAGTGGAACTCTGATCGTGGATTGGCCCTTATTAAATAAGGACCCCCCCAGGGTCTGAAGCCTCCTGGGCAAATTGGGCACATTCCTTAACCAACGCCCCCACCGTAGGTAGAAGGCAAGTAATTCAGAGGAGCATTGCCCCGCCGAGGGGGGGGGGGGGGGGCGCGAGAAGAGAGCGGGGAGGAGGGGAGAGGGAGGAGGAAGGGAGGGAGAGCGGGGGGAGGGAGGAGGAGAGGAGGGGAGGGGAGGAGGAGGGGAGAGAGCGCGCGAGAAGAGAGAGAGGGGAGGAAGGGAGGGAGAGGGGGGAGGGGTTCTCCTGGGCAGACGGAGGAGGACCGAAGCAGTCACAGGCGTCGCCGTGCAGCCTTTTGGCAGACGTCCGCATGCTTACCCCTGGCTCCACAGGCGGCCCCGCCCACCGTTTTCTTCTTACTTGTTCTCCTTATTCTTCTTCTCCTTCTTCTTCTCCTTCTTCTTCTCCTTCTTCTCCTTATTCTTCTTATTTTTTTCTTCTCCTTCTCCTTCTTCTCCTTCTCTTCTCATTCTCCTCATTTCCCTCGAGAACTCCCTCCTACTCCCCTCCTCCTCATGCCCCGGACCCATCCAACTCCTCGCGTTCCCCATTCATACTCCTCCTGCTCCTCGCCAGTGTTCCTCCTCGTCAGCCTCCTCGCTTCATGGATATTTTCTCTTCCCCGTCGTCCTCGTGCTCCTCCTGCTCCTCTCTTCTCACTGTTCGAGCTGTGTTTTTTCTTCGGGCTCACATGATAGTTCATATCCATAACAATGCTGAGACTACTATCGACTACGCGCAAGAGTCACCCTGGGTAAGGGTGAGCTTTGGTGCGCGGCTTTTTGGGGTCCGCGGGGGGGGCAAACACAAGCGCGCAAGACGCCACTGCCGCCTCGCGTTCGGCGATCGGGGGACCCCATTGGGCCCGCACCGAAGGTCACTCCGGCGAAAGGTCACTCTTACGTCTAGTCGATGCTACATGGCTAATACGAATCATCGTCGTAATCATCATCCTTCTCCTCTCGTCCCAAACCCACCGGCCTTTCCGTCGGCTGTGCTGCGGAGGGCGCGAGGCGCCAGCGTTTTATTGCAGTGGCCGAGAAGGCTACCTGTCGCTGTTCTGGTCGGCTGCCAGTCTCGGTGAAGCTCTCGTAGATGACCACACCAGAGAAAAAAAAACAATCAATGGATGGTTTTCGCTGAGGAGATCGACCGGGAACCCGGGAGCTCAAGAACCCAATACCCACCGAAATCGGCCCGGAACCAATAACCGGGAACCTGGAAACCTGGAAACCCAGAACCGGGAACCCGGGAACCCAGCCTGCTACCAGAATCGGCGGGAAACTTTCGTCAAAATCGGCCTGGAACCAATAACCGGGAACCCGGGAACCTGGAACCCGGAACCCAGGAACCCAGCCTGCTACCAAAATGGGCGGGAAACTTTCGCCAAATCTTTCAACTTCCGCTAGGACCCCTTCAGTGCAAGCACTGATTGGGGAACCACACAGGCCTTCCGAAAAAGGCGGCGGTGGACGAGAGGATCGGGTTGACAGCCAGAAGGAGTCGGTGATGGAGAGAACGATGGAAAGGGTGAAGGGGCACGACGGAAAGGGTAAAGAGGAGGAGTGGGAAGCGAAGAGGCGATGGAAAATCAATGCTAATTGATGGCTGTCGAGGAGGACGGCGCATCAGCAGAGAGAAGGACGAGGATTGAGGGGAAAGAACGTAGAGACAAGCTGAAGCGGCACAACTGGCTCACGGCAATATGAATTGAGCGCGTCCTCGTCAAAGTCAACTAACGCCGCTCAGAAACACATCGGTCAAGCATGGGCTCCCTGGCCATACTAACCGATGTCTACATCGGCTTACGGCTGATCATTTTATCACAAGCAAGGTGCAAGCATACTTTCAAGTCGCCACTACTGGCTGTCCAGTGAGCTCCACTCGATGCACAGAGCCGCTTGCTTCGAAAGTTGCCCACTCTACAAGTCGAAAGGCGCAGTCGGAAAATCGAATGAAGACGGCATTCAGTTGATAGTGAAACAGCAAAGGACCAAGATAAGATTGGAAGTGTCTATTTCGACTGCACGCTATGTACCGTGCACAAACCCATCCCGACACGTTCACGAGCCCTGCTGGTGCAATGGCCTCAGTGCCTACTGCAGTGGCAAGCTCGATCCCGAGATCCCCTTCTCCTCCTCCTCCTGCTCCTCCTCCTCCTCCTCCTTCCCCTTCCTCCCTCCTCCTCCTCTTCCTCCTCCTCTTTCTCCTCCTCGTCCTCCTCCTCCTCAAGACCATCTGGGCCAGATCTTGGTGCCTGCAAATGTGGACTCCCAGCCTGACCCAGGAGCCGATATGCTACGCTATGACCTGGCCCCAGAGGGGGTCTGCGCTGGCCTGGTCGTGTGTGACTGCCTCCCTTGAGAAATCGATGACGTAACCATAAATTACACCAAAGAACAATCCCAATCAGTGGATGGTTCCGTCTTAAAAAAAATCAGGACGGCGGGTTTTCGGCCGTTTTCGGCCTCGTGGGGCCCTCGCCGGGCCTCGGGACCGTCAAAAAACGACTCAGGATGAAAAACCGGTCCCGGGGAAAGGGTCGGGACTTCCGGGGACTCGCCGGGGACGCTGTCCTGAAAAGAATAAGTCGACGTCGCATGTCTGGGTTTTCGCTGAAGAAGATTGGGAACCCGGGAGCCCGGGACCCAGAACCCAGCACCGAAATCGGCCCGGAAACAATCACCGGGAACCTGGGAACCCGGAACCGGGAACCTGGGAACCCCGCCTGCCACCAAAATCGGCCGGGAACTTTCGCCAAATCTTTCAACCAACTTCCGCCAGGACCCCTTCAGTGCAAGCACTGATTGGGGGAATATCCAGGCGAAAGACCCAACCATATGGAGTTGTGAGTAACGCAATTGTTGGTATCGTCTTCAGTGGAGCTCCCTATGGGGCCACGAAACATGTGGGGGGTGTGCCGAAAAATGGGTGCGGTGGCGCCATGCGAACGCAGCCACTTGGGCCATCGGTGACATAACCATAAACAACTCACAACAAGCATGGCAGACACAGGAAAACTAAAAATGGCGCAACCATAACTCGTATGGGGAACACACAAACTCAACTCACAACCACAACTCGTAAGGGGAACAAGCAAAGACCTAAACATGAAACCTCGGAGGTCCACGCGGATTCTCGGATCGGCGCTGGACCGTCCCCCCTCCCCGGCGCATAGAGCGCGCCAGTGGCGGCGCAGGAGGCGCCGCCAGGGGGCCCCGGCGCCGATCCGAGGAATCCGCGCGGACCTCCGAGTGTTCATGTTTATGTCGCTGCCGTGCGTCCCTTACAAGATCCTCTTCCTCTGCCTCCCGCCCCCCTGCCCTCCCGTCCGACTCCCGCTGCCGAGATCGAGGGGAGGCCCCAAGCGGTCAGAGGCCGGGCAGCGAGAGCGTCACATGGTGGTGCAGCAGGCCGACGACTTCGCGCCAGAGGGGATCAGCTGGACGTCAGCCAGAGTCTCCCCCGTCTCCTGGTCGCGGAAGCATACTTTGGGCGAGAAGACCTTCAAGTCCTGGGGGAACGAAAATCTGCCGAAACACCGCCTGCTCCCCAGGACCCTCTCATGGGGTGCGTGTAGGCCAGAACTCCGAGGTGAACTCGGCAGTGGCGACGAGGGCCCCCCAGGAGACCACCGATGACGAAAGCGAAGGGGGCAGGGCATCGCTTCCAGTACGTCTCTCCTTGCAGGCGGCTAGGGGGTCTGAACCGGTTGGGCTGTCAGGAGGGGTGATGCAGCGAAATCCGCTCTGCATCGGTCCCCTGGACCCCTCCCGGACCCCTCCAGGAATCCGTCTGGCGCGGTGCTTCACCCCGGATCCGTTTTCCATGGTCCCGGGGCCCGAAGCCGACGGCCACCGCAGGGCGAGCAAGGGCAGAAACCTTTGCCCGCCCTTCACGCTGGCCAGAACCAGTGCCGGGCCACCTCAGACCCCAGCCGACTCCAAGCTGCGAGCACGTCCCTTCCCCCCCCCCTGGAATCAGCGGCGCCGAAGAGGGGGGGGTGGAAGAGGAGCATTCGCAAATCGTGGCCCGAGGCACGTGCGCGGCCCAGGGGGCGAGGCAGGGGACGTGTGGAAAGAAGAAGGGGCCATGAAGTCCAGGAGACGTGACGGACCCCGCCCTGAGAGACCCCCTATAGAGTCCCTGGTCCTCCCCCCTTTTCTTGGCTGCACCCGACCCGAGAAGGTCCGCGTCTACCCCGCCCGGGATCTCGCTGACGAGCATGTCGTCCCGGAGTACCTCCAGCCGCTCGGCGTCGGGCGCCAGCCGCACGGCGCTGATGTTCCTGCCCAGGCGTTGGGCGACGCGCTCCCGCAGCTGGAACACCCGCTCGCCGTCCCCGGGATCGATCGCGAAGACCTGTCAGGATCCGTCAGCATCGAATCGGAAACTCGCATCGAGCTGGCACGTGCGTCGGATCGGGCCACGTCGGCACGGAGCCCAAAAATATCGGCTCGCACCGGCCGCGCAGGGACGCACCGCGACGCCGTGCGAGCACCGGGCCGCGTCGCATCGCCGACACGTGGGAATCGCATCGGATCCGACCCGCTGGGCATCGCATCGCATCGGATCTCGCTCGGATCGACATGGACCCCGGCCTGCCGGATCTCGCTCGGATCGACATGGGCCCTGGCCTGCCCGCCGGCCTGCCTGACCCTCACCATGGCCGCCGCGCCGCGCCGCGTCCGCGCGCGCGAGGTGCGCCGGGGGGCGCCCGCGCAGCTCAGTCGAGCGCGCGGCTCATGGCGGGGGGCGCCGCGCACCCGGCAGGAGCGCGGGCCCCGCTCGCTGCCGCCCCTGAGAGGCCAGAGTCTGCTGCAGAGCCTCGGCTCTTGGCCGTGCGCGCTCGCGCGGGCATGGCCTGGCCCCCCCCCCCGGGGGGCCCAGGGGGTGCCAGAGGCCTCGCGGACGGCGCCCATCTCTCATCGCATACGAGCAGGACGACACCAACCTCCTGCTGCTGCTGCTCCTGCTCCTGCTCCTGCTGCTGCTGCTCCTCCTCCTCGCCTCTTCCTCCTCCTCCTCCTCCTCCTCCTCCTCCTCCTATTATTATTCCTCCTTATGTTGGTCCTCCATCCCTTTTTCCTGGCAAATAACTCATCACTGTCGCACCCCCACGGGCAGATCGGACGTTTCGCCGGATACCTGCTCACCGCTTATGACCCTGAAGCTTGACATTAGGACGTTTGCAAAATAGAGCACTCGCTATAGCGCCGCCCACACTCGCCGTAAACAATTGCAACAACTTAAGGAATGGAGGGGGTCGTTTTCAAAATGTGGCTCTCGCCGTAGCGCCGCGCCCATTCGTCGTAAATGTTCGCAGCAGCTTCAAGGATAGAGGGCGGACCGCTTAAAAAAATGAGGTTCCCTCCTGAACGCCGTGCACATTCGTCATAGTATGTTGTACCAGCTTCAGGGATGGAGGGCGGGCAGTTGTTATGATGGGGCTCTCGCCTTGGCGCCCAGCGCATTCGTTCTAAAAGTGTACACAAGCTTCATGGGTAGAGGGCAGTTCTTTTCCAAAGCGGGGCTCTCGCTCGTCAAAAACACTTGCAACAGGTACATGGATGGAGTGCACATTGTTACATCGTTTTGAAAATGGGCCCTCGCCTTAGCACCGCGCACGTTCGTTTAAATCCGCCCCCGTTCCTGTACGGAGTGGGCGTGTTAAACCTGGGCGTGCACAGGAACTGAAAGAGCGTTTCAGGAACTTGCCCGAGAGGGCTCATGGTATCGTTCGCTCTTGTGAGACTCAGAGTTAAGAGCTTTTCTACGTCACCTTTCGCTCTTGGGAGCCTTGGTCAGACGAGTTTTTTGACGTCATCGCTCTGGGGAGCCTTGGCGTCAAGAGCTTTTTGCGTCTTGGTGTAACGAGTCGTTGACGTTATCGCTCGCCCGTGGGAGGCTTGGAGTTACAAGCTGTTTACGTCACCGCTCGCTCTTGGGAGCCTTGGCGTTGAAAGCTGTTTGCGTCACCGCTCGCTCCGAGGAGTCTTGGCGCTACGAGCTTTCTGCGCCACCTCTCGCCTCTTGAGACCCTTGGCGCTCAACGCTTTCTCTACGTCACCGACTCATGTAGAAAGGACTGTCCAACCACCTGGTGCTCTTGGGAATCTTGGCGTCGAAGCTACATCCGTCATTAGGCCGTCCAGACGGGGAGGGTCCTCTGGGGGCCGCCCTGAGGCCCTGCTGGGCCGTTCTGTCCGCCCGAAAAAATTGTAGACTATACCCAAGAGCCCTGGGGGGGGGGATCGGCTCGTCTCGGGGCCCTCTTGGGGCTCTTGTCGGCCCTCTTTGGGGCCTCCTGCGGCACTCTGAGGGCTCTCTTGGAGCCTCTTGGGGCCCTCTTGCGCCTTAGTCTCGGAGGCCCTCAGAGCCGTCTTCGGCCGATCTGGGCCCGAAGAGGCGATAACTCAAGACACAATGAAACGCTTAAGACAAAGTAGAATGTTGTTGCCTTCTCAGGCTTTCTTGGGGGTCACCTTGGGAGCAGATCGGGTCGTTCTGGGGAGCCTTCTTGGGACGCTTGGGCAGTCTTGGGGTCCTTTGGGGGCCCTCTTTGGGGCCTCCTATGGCCCTCTCGGGCTTTCTGGGGAGCCTCTTGGGGCCCTCTTCGGCCCCTCTTGGGCTCTGTGCGGCAGTCTTGGGGCCCTCCTGGGCCGTCTTGGGGCCCTCTTGGGAGCCTCGTGGACAGTCTTGGTGCAACCGTGGAGGCCCTCAAAGCCGTCGTGGGCCAATCCGGGCCCGAAGAAGCGAGAACCCAACAAAACAATGAAACAGCTAAGGCACATCCGTGTGCTCTGCGTTCTGAGGCCGTCTGGGGGGGCTCCTCTGGGGAGGCTCTCGGCCCGTCCCAGGGCATCCTCGGCGACGGGTGGAGGGGGAGGGGGAAGGGGAGGGGGAGGAGGGCAAGCTAGGTGCGCTCGCGTCATATCTGACGTCCTACCCCTCCCTCCCATCCCTTACCATGGCGCTGATTTTCTCTATCCGCGGACGCGTGTCGTAGCGGACCTGTGGCTCCGCGCGCGTGCGTAGTGGGTGGTGGTGCGCGTGCGTGCTTGCGTGCTGCGTGTGGTGCGTGTGTTGTCGTGGTGGTGTGGGTGGTGGTAGGTGGTGGTGGTGGTGGTGGTGATGGGTGTGGTTGGTGGTTTGGTGGGGTGGTGCTGGTGGTGGTGCTGGTGGTGGTGGTGTTGGTACTGGTGCTGGTGCTGGTGGTGGTCGTGGTGGTGTGGTGGTGGTGGTGGCGGTGGTGGTGGTGGTGGTGGTGGCGGTGCGGCGCGGTGGTGGCGGGCGGATGGGCGCGCGAGAAAAGGCCCGCGCTGGGGCGAGAACGCCATCCTGAACGACGGAGGCCAAACACCGATCCGAAAATGAGGCCCACGCTGCAGCGGGAGCACGATTCGGAACGATTCGGGAGCAGAAATGAAGCCGGCGCCTCAACGAGAGCAGCATTTTGTGAAAAAATGACGCCGGCGCCTCAGCGAGAGTCGTTTCCCGGGATTTCCCGTGCATCCTGTGTGTAAAAAAACAGTACGCGGAGGGTGCGCGGCCATCACCCAGACGCCATCAGGGGAAGAGGGAGAGTATATTCATATTGAGTAATTAGTGGCAGGGGAGGAGCAGGAGGAGGAAGGAGGAGGAGGGGAGAGAGGGAGGAGGAACAGGAGCGAGGATGAAGGAGGAGGAGGAAACGGAGGAGAAGGAGGAGGGGGAAGAAAAGGGGGGAGGAGGAGAGGAGGAGGAGAGGGAGGAGGGGGAGGAGGAGGAGGAGGTCGGGGAGGAGGAGGAGGAGGAGGAGGAGTATGAGGAGGAGGAGGAGGAGGAGGAACCGAGAGGAACAAAAGAGCGGGCGCACTACACCTGGGCGGGGGGCGCCCTCCTCGCGCGTCTGCCCACTGCCTTCCCCCGGCGGGCGCCGCACCACAGCCAGCACCGTTGCCCGTGGGACGGTCCATCGGGGGGGGGAGGAGGGAGACGAGGGTGGATGCAGGGACGTGCTGGAGCTCGGCGCGAGACACTTAGGCCCCCCCCCTGGCTCGAAATCGCCCACAAGAACCCCCTCCCTGCCCCTACGCCGTGCCCTGGCCCCCCATCGTGACCCGCTTCCCTGCCCCTCTCGTTCCGTTGCCCCCCTCGTTACATCGCCCCCTCGTTTCCTTACCCCCGTTTTCTTTCCACCCTCGCTCCTCCCTTTCGCTGCCCCCCCTCGTCGCCCTCGCTCGTTCCTGCCCCTTGAGGGGGTTGCTCTGGGGGGCCCCTCCACCCTCCCGCTGTGCCAGCCTCTCCTCCGTCGTTCCTGCCTCTCCCCCCCGCATCTATCTTCCTGTCCTCTCCTCTCATCTCCTCTCCTCTGCCTTTTCCTCCTCCTTCTCCTCCTTTCTCCTCTTCCTCCTCCTCCTTCGCCTCCCCCCTCCTCCCCCTCTCCCACTCCACCCTCCACCTCCACCTCCACCTCCTCATCCTCCTCCTCCTCTCCTCCTCCTCCTCCTCGGGGGCGGGCATCTCCTCTCATATCCCTCCTCCTCCTCCCTCCTCCTGCTCCTCGTGCCGTCTGCTATGTTCCATCTCCCTCCCCCTCCTCCCCTCCTCCTCGTCCTACTGATCACCGCATCATCGTCATAAACATTTTCACGATCCATAGCATCATCAGCCTCATCCAGCAGCCATCATCATATCATCATCATCAGCAGCACGCATCAGCATCACATCAGCATCAGCATCAGCCATCAGCCATCACATCATCATCAGCATCATCACATCATCATCATCATCATCCACATCCTCATCCTCATCTCATCCTCATCCTCATCATCATCACCAGCATAATCATCATCATCATCATCATCATCATCATCTCGTCATCATCATCATGATCATCATCATCATCAGCAGCATAATCATCATCATCGTCATCATCATCATCATCAGCATCATCATCATCATCATCATCCCCCTCCTCATCATCATCATCATCATCAGCAGCATCAGCATCACCATCATCATCATCATCATCACCAGCATCATCATCATAATCAATATGATCAGCATCAGCAGCATCATCGGCAGCATCATCATCAGCAGCAGCATCAGCATTATCAGCAGCAACATCAGCATCATCATCATGATCAGCACCATCATCCTCCTCATCATTATCAGCATCATCATCATCATCATCGTCATCAGCATCACCATCAGCAGCATCATCACCAGCATCATCATCAGCACCATCGCCATCAGCATCATCACCACCATCATCGACAACAGCATCCTCATCCTAATCCTCCTCTTCATCATCAGCATCTACGATGGTAGTAATCATCACCAGCATCACCACCATCACCGTTATAAACATATCACCACCACCATCACCATCAGCATCAGCATCATCGTCATCATCATCATCATCATCAGCATCAGCATCGTTATCATCAGCATCATCATCATCAAACTGTTCAGCACCATCATCATCACCCTTCACCTAGATTCATGACAACCATCCTACGTTTGGTTGTCGCTCTCTTCCTACATCTCAATCGGCTCCACGTCGGTTCCCCCTCCATCTACTCTTCATGTTCCTCATCCTCCTCCTCCTTTTGATACCCCTCCCCAGCATCATGACCAGCAGCAGCATCACCACGACCACCAGCATCGCCACTATGCTCACATCATCATCATCATCATCATCATCATCATCATCATCATCATCATCATCATCATAATCATCGTGATCATCATCGTCAGCATAAGCATCACCGTCCTCCAAGCCATCATACTAACCAGCATCATCGTCATCAACAGCAGCAGTAGAGACATCATCATCATCAGCATCATCATCATCGTCATCATAATAAGCATCATAATCATCATCATCGTCGTCATCATCATTATCATCACCATCATCCTCAACATCAACTTCAACAACATCAGCATGATCATCATCATCGTTGTCGTCATCATCGTCGTCAGCACCATCACCGTCACCATCACCGTCACCATCAGCATCACCATCAACATCAACAACCTCGCCAGAACCAGTATGATCAACATCAGCATCAACATTAAAATCATCGCGTTGATCATGCCTCCTACGCACGTTTCTTATTTCTCCTCCTCCTCGTACTTCTCGTTTAGTCCCGGGCGCCACGGTGCTCCCAGCCAACTTGGGTTACCTAACGTGGGTCATACGCGACCCTCCAGCGCCCATTCATCTTCTCCTCCTCGTCCGCCTCCTACTCCTCATCCTCAACATTAGCATCATCAGCGTCATCATCATGGTCGGTATCGCCATCGTCGTCGTCATCACCATCAGCATCATCATCATCATCATCATCATCATCATCATAATCATCATCATCATCATCATCTTCATCATCATCGTCACCATCATAACCATCCTCATCATTACCAGCATCATCATCAGCATCATCATCATCAGCTTCATCATCATCATCATTAGCAGCATTATCATGATCATCAGCATTATAATCAGCATCATCATCGTCGTCAGCGTCATCATCATCATCATCATCATCATCAGCAGCAGCAGCAGCAGCAACATCATCATCGTCATCAGCATCATCATCAGCATCGTCAGTATCAACATGATCATCAACATTAACCTCAGCATCAACACCGATACCAATATCAACAACCAAATCCTAAGTTGCATTTGTTGCATGCAATTGAGCGCCAAGCTAATGTGTTTGTTTCGGTGCGAGGTTCGCACCACACCGCACCCCCTGCTCGCACTACCCTGCCATGGGAACGAGGGAGCGAGGAAGAGGTGAAGGGGGAACGAAGTGGAGGGGGTGAGAGGGGAACACGTCCTCATCGTTATCCCACCTTCCTCCTCCCGTCCTCGTCCTCTTCTTCCTCCCCATCCTCGCACTCCTCCAGCTCCTCCGCGTTCCTCCTCTTCCTCCTCCTCCTCCCTCGTTCTCCCTCCTCCAGCTCCTCCCGCCTTTCCGGCCTTGGACACCAGAGCTTACGAAAGATCAGGAGGGGTGCAGCGCACCCGATCGAGAGGCACAATGGCTTTTCTCCCTCTGCTACCGCCAGTGGCACGCGGCGCAGCACTGCAAGCACCCTCCAAGCCACAAGAAGAGCACTGGAGTCTCAAGACATGCCAGAAGCCTCCATGGCCTCCTCCTCCTCCACCTCCTCCTCCTTTTCCACTTCCTCCTCCTCCTCCTCCTCCTCTTCCTCCTCCTCCTCCTACTCCTACTCCTCCTCCCGCCACCGCAATCCTCATCCCGCCTCCTCCTCATCCTCTTCGTCCTCCTCCCTGCTCCTCCTCCTCCTCCTGCTCCTCCTCCTCCACCTCCTCCGTCTTCTCCGCCCACCTCCACTTCGTCTCCTCCTCCTCCTCCTCCTTTTCCTCCTCCTCCTTCTCCTTCTCCTTCTCCTTCTCCTTCTCCTCCTCTCCCTCCTCCTCTTCCTCCTCGTCCTCCTCCTCCTCCTTGTCCTCCCTTCTTCTCCTCCTCCTCCTCCTCCTCCTCCTCCTCCTCATCCTCAGCCTCCTCCTCCTCCGTCTTCTTCGCCCACCTCCACTTCGTCTCCTCCTCCTCCCCCTCCTCCTCCTCAGGACTCAGCACTGCTCCACCGTGTAGCTCTGCGCGGTGGACATCCACTGAACCGTGGCGGGGCTGTCTGTGACACACGTGGTGCTCGCGGCGCTCGAGTCGCACGCGCCGATCGAGTGACTGTACTCGTGGTACCCCACGCAGCGGTTCCTCAAGTACACCTGTCTGTGACACACGTGGTGCTCGCGGCGCTCGAGTCGCACGCGCCGATCGAGTGACTGTACTCGTGGTACCCCACGCAGCGGTTCCTCAAGTACACCGTGACCTCGAGCACCGCCAAGAAGCTTCCACAGCCACAACTTCTGGAGTCCTGCCCCCATGGTCCCTGGAGAGCGGTGGGCATGGATGACTTCCCGCCCGCATGGTGGGGAATATCGGACATCCGTACCCACCACTCCCCGAGGTCCCAGGGTACGACTCCGAAACGGTCGGCATAAATGGGTTCTGGCGGTGGACCTTGGTGCCCGTGCCACACACCGTGATCGAAGGCTTGCTTTCGTCCGAGACGGCCTCGCTGGCGAACTGCTGGCACGAGTTCAAGATACCGAACCCGGCGGACTGAGAGTACACCTCAACGCCATCAATGGTCACCTTCTGGTTGCTGGGGATGGTCAGGTTCAGGCGACTGGCCGAGACCCCCGGGGCCACTGAAGCGCAGGCGACTGCCATGAGCAGCAGGGGCGACATAGAGGCAGCCATTTCTTCGTTGTCTACCTTGCGACGGAAGGTCCTCACAAAAGCCAAAGAATCTGCGGCGAGATGCCAGTGATGCAAGGCGCCTCACTCGAGCCAGAATGTTTGCGGCCGAACCATGTCGAGGTGAACTTTTTTCCATTGTGACGCTATGAGGTATGATTCTATCAGGTGATCGTTTCCTCCTCATCATCCTTCGCCTCCTCTTCCCCGTTCCCCCTCATAGACTTCCTCTATTAATATTTGTTTCGCCTCCCTCTGGTGTGCATCGTCAGCGTTCGCGTGTGATATTCTGAACTTCTACCTGGGCTTGCGGTCAGAAACTTACGACGACATGTGCTTACCGTGTCGCGGCGGCGCCCCCTGCGACACACTATGCCTCGTAAGCTGAAAGCGTGTCGCTTTGCTTTTTTTGTTTCGTAGGACGGAGGCTGGGAAGAGCTCAACGCGTTGATGCTTGGGGAGTGGGACCTGCTCAGAGTGTCGCGCCGAAGCGTGGTTGGCCGAAGCCGGTGGCGCGACACGCTTAGCAAAGGTCACTGACCTAACATCAGAGGACAGGCTGCGACAGCAGGGGTGTAGGGGTCGGAGGAGCAGGAGCAGACGGAGGACAGAGGACATGAACATGAAGGAGGGGACCAGAGAGCAGGAGGGAGGAGGAAGGAGGAGGAGCGGGAGGGGAGGAGGAGAAAAGCAGGGACGACGTCCTCCGTCGTCGCGACACGCTCCGCCGATCGCACATCGCGCCGCGATTTCTCCCGCGCTCATACCTCCAGGAGCGCCCGGCGGGGGGGCAGCGCCCAGGGGGCCTGGCCACGCGTGGGGCACACCGCTCGCCGCGAGATCGGCCCCCCTGCAGCTCTTCCAGCCTCCCCCCACCTTCTCGTCCTCCTCCCCCCCTCCCCTGCTCCACCTCCTCCCCCCCCTCCTTCTCGCTCCCCCTCCTCCCCCCTCTCAGGCCCTGTCCTTGTTGGGTAACTCCTCCGCGTTTCGCCCCCAAGCATGTCGGTAGGGCGATCCTGGCGTTTCGTCTGAGACTTCCCAGCCATTTGCAGCAACTTCACGGATGGATGGGGGGGGTCGCTAAATGCAGCTCTGGCCTTAGCGTTGCGCACAGTACGGTGCTGGCACGTTTGCGGGTAATTCGCAAATGCGGTACTTTCCACGTGCGCGAAATTGATGTAGATGGCGGCACTGTTTCACGCGTGGGCCCTTCTTAAACCCCTGGGGAAGGAAGGGGTGCGCCGTCCAGCGTGGCGCTCTACTGGCGCCTGACTGCAATATACTGCAATCGTGGGGCATGCCTTTCGGAATGCTCGTCGGGCACCCTTGAAACATGCAGAATTCGACAGCATGTTTGCGCCGTGTGCGCTCGTATAGAACTACCCGAGTCATTCGCGTCCCCGATGCAGCTTTCGCAGCGCTTGTTGCCGTCAGTGAATTTGTCGTCCAATAGTGCGGCATACGCATTGCGCCGAAGACGGTCCCTTGTACGTATATGACGCCCAGGTCCATGTCGAAGCGCACGCGACGTGCTCGCGCGAACTTCGTTGGAGCAGTATCTCCGCTACCCCATGTAACGCCCTCCTCTTGGCAACAACTAGCTCCGACACGTGCGATCTCCAGTCGGGTCATCTGAAGGTGGGGGCAGGGGTGGCGGTGGGTCGGTCGGGGGAAAGAATGGCGGCGACGGTGGTGGCGGTGATGCAGTCGTCTCGTCGAAGCCGCCTCGCGTTGGCAGTGGCTCTCGCGGCGATGGATCTGCCGTCTCGGCGCGGTCCACTGCGTCGTTTGTCGCAGGTTTCGCCGAAGTCTGAGCCGTCGTTTTTCTGCTCGCGGCGTAGGTGTGGAAGGCCGGTGCAATGCTGTCTGCTCTCTGACCGCCTCGCGGGGGGGCCTTCTGGTCGGGCGAAGGTTGCTGTTCCTGTTGTAGTAGTTCCGTCTGGCGTATCATATCCTCCGCGGCCAGTTGTAGTGCGATGTCGCGATCGATGCCTTCGCTGGTTGGCGCAGGCATGTTCTTCGCCACGAGCCTCGTCTCCTCCTCGTGGAATGTCAGCTGGTGGCATGGGTGCTGGCGTTCGTCGTCGCGTCCGCGTTGCAACAGGATCGAAGTGGCAGTGTGAATCGGGACCACGTCCGCGCACGCGCCCTCGCCCTTCGACTTGCGCGCAGAAGCGTTTCCGCCGCGCAAAGCGCGCATTTCCGCTGGTGGTCTTGCGCGTGGGCGAGATGGCGCCGGAATCTGCATCAATGCTTTGTCAATGTATGCCCCAACTCTTCCGGGTCCGCGGCGTGCTTTTCCTGCACAGTACGGCGCTGGCGAGGCTCGACGTCGGATGCGGTTAGGCGGCGCGCATGCAATCGGCCGGAGTGGTCTGTAAGCGCAATCTGGCTCGGCGGTCCCTTGCGCCTTTGGCAGGGGGCTGTTCGTGCGCGCTTGGGCTTGGCGCAGTGCATTCTTGATGACGAACTGGGCGCTCCATCGCGATGGCGAATCTCCTGATGTAGATTCGCCCTGCCATCTTGCTTACCATCGGGCCATCTGGAATAAATCGCATCTTCTTGGCAGCAACGTCCTCTCGCCTGCTTGTGATCGTCGAAGTAGTGGGTCCCGGCTGCGTACTGGTTTCCTGGAACAATGGCGGCGTCGAGGATAATCCGTCTGTCTTTACATCCTTCATGACTCCTTGCAGCCTCGGCCTTGGCCTTTTGCGACGCGCATTGCGCGTGCGTCGTTGCTTCGCCGCTGTCTTTTAAAAGCTCGCTGCATGCCGCGCGCAGGTGGTAGTACTCCTAATTCAGGGAATCCTTCCGGTTCTTGAACTGCCGCTGCAATTCCCGTGCCGCTTGGTCGTGGATGAACAGCGTGCGCCCCTCGGTGTTTCTGAGGTGCCCGACAGCCTCAATGTACTCCTGCCCTTCCGCGGAGTAGTTCGGCCTGCTCTTGTCGGACGATCTCGCACTGGCTGTGCACGGCCCCGAGCTCGCCAAGTCTCTTCTCTGTCACGTCCCGCGCCTCCTCCTTGAATTGCGCGCACTGGGTGATCCCGGCTTGTGCGCAGTGTTCGCGGCGTTCGCAGCGTCCACCATGGTGCACTTCCATTGACTGAGCGCTTGCTGCTCGCAGATCAGACCAGAGGCGGTTGATGGTCCTATCTGACTGCGCAAGGCTTTGCCCGAGGCTCTCGCCGTCGTCGGCCACTTCCTTCGCGCGCCGCGCGCAGGCATTGGCGTCGCTCATGCGCTGCGTCTGCTTGTCTGCCAGGAGCACTGGCCTCTCGCGCCCGACAGTCTGCGTGACTGCCTCAGCGCGCAGCTCGCACTGTCGCTCATGTTGCAACTGTGCCCCTTCCGCGTTCTGTCGCAAGCGCTTGCGTGCACTCGCCTGCTGCGTGCGTTCGTTGGCCAGAAGGCGGCCCTTTGTCTGCCGGCTTCGCCCGCGGCCCCAATACTTCCTTCGCCTGCGCGGGCTCGTCCAGCAAGCTAGCCCGGCGACCGTCGGTCTCGGCGTTGCGTGTGTTTGCCTCCGTTGCGAGGTCCTCCTCGATTTGGCTCCACATGTGTATTCTTTCTTGTTCAGCAGCAGATGCGCGTTGCGCCAGGCACAGCTCCCGCTGCTCGCGCGCGCATCTCTCGGCGTCATTATCCGCCCAGTTGGTCTCTTGTTTTATCGAAGCTTCGGCGACCAGTTCCTGCTTGAAGATCGCGCTATCATGGTCGGTCTTCGTTATGCGCCCCTGGTCGTCCCCCGCGGCCACCTCCGTCGCAGGTTGTCGCGGGCTCCTGTTTCGAAGAAGCCCGTGGGCGGTGCTTCCTCGATCCTGACAAGAGCTTCTCTGAATGAATGTTGCAGTGCGTTGACGGCGTCGGCAAGGTCGGTCGCGGCCATGGGTGGCGCCGCGCCCCCCTGGGCCTGCTGCGCCGGCGCTCAAAGACAGGCCTCGGGGCGCGCGCCCTCCTCGGGCCGCGAGTCAAGCTGCCGGCCCATCGTTGTGCTTGGTCGAGTTCTTCCGAGACTTCCAAGACTGAATCAGAGTGATCCCGCGGCCCGGCGGGGGCCGAGCCGCCGCGCAATCCTCCGTGGCGCTTGAGCCAAACCCTCGGCCCTCCTCGCCCCCTCTCCTCAAGGCCTCGCCTGGGCCGCCGCGGCCCCGCCACGCTCGGGCTGGCCGCGTGCGTCAAAGAGGCGGCGCCCCGCAGCGGCGCGCGCGCGCCAGCGCCCCGAGCCAGGATGAAACACCGATCGGGGTTGGGCGGCCCGACCTGCTTTGCTCGGGCAGCCGGCGCAAAGGGGGCGAGGTCGCCCTCTCGACGGAGGGCTTCCGCCACCCGCCGCAGCCGCCCTCGCGGCCGCTGCGCCTCCCAGGCGGGGGGCGGGACAGCCCGGGCGGAAAGCGGGCGCGCCGCGCGATCGCCGATCGGACGAGGGGCGACTGGAACGGAGGCATGAGACATTGGTCGGCCGCGACGATGACGACCCTGACAGAGGAAGGAGGAAAGCCAGAAGGACGGACGGACCAAGTCTCGGAAAAGGTTTCTGGGCGAAGGCCTCGAAGCAGCTCGCCGCGTTCGCTCAAGCGCCTGGGCTGAGGGCATCTCTCCAGGAGGCCGCGGGTCTTCTGCGTAGCAAGCCTTCCACGGAAGCGCAGAAAATGACAGGCTACTCACTGCCTTCGATTCCCCATGCGCACGAAGAGTGCTCCCCCGCCCCCTGGGAAGACAAGCTCGGCCTGTGCGGGGGCGAGGGCTCGACGTGAAAACTCGCTTGCAGCCGAGCGCTCGCGGGGGCAAATTTAGCACCCGAAGGTCGAGCCGCCCCAGACGAGATGGCGGGGGCCCCCCTGGGTCCGAGGGCGGCGACCCATCTGGCATGGCAAGCTTTCCAACGGCTCCGTTTGGCTTTCGGCCGCGCGCGCAGCATGGCGTAAGCCCCCGCCGCTAATTCCCATATTCTGCAAACGCCTGAGCGGCGCAGTTGTCGACCGCGCTCGGCGGGGCCCGCGCGCTCGAGCCCAGTCCAGCAAAGTGGCTGGCCACGGAAGAATCGCCCCTAATATTGGGCAGGGTTGATTTCGCCCCCGGCAGCGCTCTGACCCTAATGCGCGAGGCGCTGGGCGCCGGCATCTAGCTTGCGG